AAAAACTTTAAAATTATTTATATTGATGTTAACTTTCATTTTTTTTATATTAATTAATGTCAAAAAATATTAATTATATTCTTAATTTATATTTTAAAACTACAAATTAAAATAACTGTTTTTTATCTAAGTTAAAAAACTTTAAAATTATTTATATTGATGTTAACTTTCATTTTTTTTAAATTAATTAATGTCAAAAAATATTAATTAGATTCTTAATTTATATTTTAAAACTACAAATTAAAAAAATTCTTTATATATTTACTTATCTGTACATAATATCTTACAAAAGAAAGTAAAAAATTAAACTAAATTTTTTTTGTGATTAAAAATGATTAAATAAAATAAAAAAATAAAAATATATATCTATCATAAAAATAAAAAATAAATTTATAACATATTCAATTCAACGATAATAAGATGTACAGTCACACAAGGCTTTTTGTCATTTTGGTATTTTTTTGGAAAGTAGTCACACTCAGACATCACTTTATGAATGTATGTATTTATGTATGTATAATAAAGCGTCGGACTTTTTCTACTTTTCAACAATAATTATTATTGCAGGACGAGCTGTTGTGGGGAGCGGCGTGGTTGCACAAGGCCTCGAACATGCGTGAATACAGAGAATACATTGTGAGAAACGAGGTCGTCCTGAGAGCTGGTGACACAATAAACGAGTTCGGTTGGGATAACAAGCATGCTGGGATAAATGTGCTCATTTCCAAGGTAAATCTTAGTATTCCAATTCCAAATCCACTTTGCTTTTCACATTTTTGTATACTACTACTCCCTCTGTTTTTGTTGGCATTGCATGATAAGTTAAATTTCTAAAATTTAAGTATGTAAATGCATTTTTACTACCTCTCTAACATTTAATGTTTTTAAGTTTTAGTTAAAACTTGGGTTTTTTTTTTTAAATTAATAAATAATTATAATATCAATTAACATTATAAGTTTACAATTTTAATTTGTTATTGTATAATTGATTTTTTTATTCATAAATTTACTAGTGATATTTATGTATTTACTTTTTTAATAACATATGAAAAAAAATATAAATAAAAATATGAATTTTGTAATTTTTTTTGTTTAATGATACAATTTTTTTAATTTCTAAATCAAAGGGTAAACTTTCACTTTTTTATTTAAGAATATAAATTTTGTCATTTTTTTTTTATTTAATGATACAAACTTTTCCCTATTTTAATGAATATTGTCGTTTACCACATTATCATTGCTATCTTACAAATCACTAAATTAAAAAAAAAATTCTTATCCCTATTTAGAAAGGCCAAACCTTCTATATGTGTCCTATTTATTGTTTTATGTGATCAACACCCTCTAGAATTTTCATTCTCAATCAACACTTTTTATATTTTAAAATCTGTAAACAAAATGCAAAATTAATAACCAAGTCACATGCAACTCAAGGTGCAAATAGGGAGTTTGATCGCCAATTTTTGGGTATTTTATGGGTTTCAAATTCTAAAGAGTGTCGATCAAAAGTGAATATTCTAGAGGGTGTTGACTGTGAAAAATACAATATTCATGGTGAATATATGGGGTTTGGCCATCCCAATGTGAGGTTTTGGGCATTATAATGTCCTTTACTCAAACGCTTGATGTTCTCATCAAACCTAATCACAATAGAACAAGGCCTACTAACCCACAATTACAAAATTCACCTCAAGTGGTGTGAGGTCCATACTACCACCAACTACAATGGTAAGCATAGGCTCAAACCTGCAAGAGGTGACTACCCTAATACCAACTAAAACAACCCAAGGCGAAACCCACTACTAGCCTGTTAACAACTCTTAGAGTCAAGGTCTATGAGCCCTTAAGAGTTTAAGCTAAGGTGTTTGTAATGGTTGGTCTCAACATTTATATACTAGTCACGCTACACTTCTATCTTTATATTGGATTTTGTGGTGTTACAATAATAAAAACTATCACCTAAAAGAAGTAAGAAAAAAAAAAGGGGGTATCTGCACTCTAGGACACTATTAAAGAACAAGAAGTTCTATCTTTAAAATATATTTCAAGAAGGCTAAAGGGCAATTATGGAGGGGATTCCACTAATTTATGGGAAGTTGATAAAACCTATGTTACCATAGGCCTAATAGATTCAAAAACTATCATTTGGGTAAAATCTATGAGATATAGTCGTGAACATAGAGAATAATTTGAAAATCAAATTCAAGAGTTAATCCCTCAGGCTAAGAGTCCACATTGCAGCCTAGGATTTATGGTGAGAAACCATAGTGAGATTAAAAGAGCCAAAGCTAGGATAGTTGTTAACTTTAAGCAACTAAATAACAAGATAAAGTTTGGTAGACATTTTTTATCCATAAAGAGACTCCAATCAACAGTATTAGGGGAAAAAATGTATTCTAAACTTGACTACAAATCAGAATTTTGGTAAATAAAGCTAACTCTTGAAAGAATCCCATTAACATTAAATTTATTTGAGAGATATAGAATTATAGGGAAATAATACTTTAACTATAATTTCTTAATAGAAGAAAGTTGTAGACTGAACTTAACATAATAGCTACACATTACCTTATAAACTTAAGTCAGCTCCAAAAATCCCCAACAAATCTTGTATTTGAGCCCAAAAAAGAATAATGAAGAGCATGTTTGGTGAAGCTTATAAAAGCTTTAACTTTTTGATACTATTGATATATCATAAATTTAAATTTTTCTCTTAAAA